GACTTGTGTTCTCTCTCTCCCCCAACCCCCACCCCCCACCAAATAAATAAACTTTAAAAACACACACGCATTTGAAATATTCCCAAATGGTTTGTGGAATTTCATTTTACTGGCAACCAAATATAGTCCCTTATTTTTTGCCAATCCTTACCCCTCCTTTATTCCCTTCTAGATGTAATTCAAAACTGCTACACTCTTTTAGTAGAATACAATGAATAGAATTTCGGAATTTGATAGCTGGAATTCTAAAGAAAAGGCCCAGAGGAGTAATTGACTACGGTCACCACCTGAATTAGTGACAGTCATCTGGGAGACAGGATTAGGTTAGCTCCCATCATAGCACTTACTATACTGCATCACAACTTCCTATTTGCTGATGTGTCTCAACAGACTAACTCTGAGGTCAGAGACCAGGTATATTCATCTCTATATCCAGGACCTAGCATGGTGTCTAGCATATAGGTTGTTGAATGAAGAATTCAGATTCCCTGACTCCTGGCTTTGACTCCAGGTTGTTGTTTATCCCATATGGATAGGAGTGGGGACCAGGACAAAGTCTCAAGTCCTGAAAGCCCAAGAAAATGGCTGTGAAGTCTGTCATCTACATGTAGGAAAAGTTAAATGCTTGTGATGATTCCAGAATCATTCTGGGGTGCGGGAGGACTTTCAATTGTGGAGCAGGGATGTTGGGAAGTTACTAATGAAGTCATTTATGTACAACTCAAATGTCCCCAGAACTCACTAACCTGTAGGTACAAATGATGTCTTTAATGGGCAAATTTCACTAACTCCATAGCTGCTTTCTTTGGGTAACTTTGTAAGATTCCCTTTGCCACTTCAAGAAGTCCCCAGACCTTTGGTGACTGCTCACATTGTTCCTGCTATTCCATCTTAGCTTCTCAGATTCTACCTTCTGTCACACTCCCACACTCCTGTTTCTCCAAGCCCCGAGATCTTACTTTTTTTTTTTTTTTTTATCACTGCAGAAATATTCCCCTTCCTCTGTTGTGTGCCCTTTTTGAGGGGTCTCAGAGCAATGCTAAGCCAAAAGGTGTTATGAGGTTTATTTGGACTACTCTGTTCCAGTACAGCTTTCTCCTCCCTAGCATGTGCCCTTGCCACTAGAGTAAAGGCATCAAGGAAGGATTTCAGTATAGTCACCACACTACCCGGAACCACCATTTGCCTATCCTCAGCCCTTGTTGCTGAGTTCTACTCATAGAACTCAATAGCTTCTTCTCCCATTGTGAGTTTCTCTTAGGGGTCAGAAGTTTTCCCTTTCCCTGCTAGGTTCTCACCAGATACTGCCCTTGCTACATATATTACAGTTTATTGTATTATATATGACAAACTGTTTTCACGGATAGAAAGAATGAATTTTGAGAATTCCCAAGGATTCCATTTACCTCATTTATTTGCCCCTCAAAGCATAACCCAATTTTTACCTCCATGAAGATTCCCCGTTATACTAGATGGAAATTTCTTCCTCCTCTGAACTCCAAATTCACATTGTCTGTATGAAAAATTGGCCTTATGATTAAGGCCTATGTCACCTTAGTCACCTTCTGCCTGTGATATCTCTCATATTGTTATTTACTTTATCATCTCAACCACAGAGCCCCTTGAGGCTAGGAAGCCTGTTGTAAACATTTTCTTATTTCCCACTGTTTATGCACAGTAGATGCCAAGCAGTATTTGATAAATATTAATTTGTAGTTGTAGCCCTCTGCCTTACCCATAGCACCTTACATCTGGATGCAGTAGGATTATCTTAAGTGATGGCATATATGGATGCATGGGAAGATGGATATTTATATACTTGTGTGTGTCCTTGTTTGTAGTCAGTGTAGGGGTCAAGGGTAGGGAAGTATCCTCTTTGGAGCTGAACCAAAGGAGCCCATTAAATTTTTTTCTCTTGGGAATTTCAGGCTGCAAGACAGAGCCTGGCAGTCTCTTGAACTGCATACAGTAGCACTCTAGAACAGTCCAAAACTCTTGCTGATGTTCCTGGAGTTTCCCTGCTTTCTTTCTTTCTAACTGCTATGAAATTTGTTTAGATTCTTTGAGATGCCCTCATAGTCTTCCAAATAAGTTCTTCTGCTTAAAGTAGCTAGAAGTTTCTGTTCTTGGCAATGAGGAGAACCTGACCTGCCACAGTAGAATAAGGTGTGACACTGACAACATCACACACAGGGTGCTCTCCAGATAAAGAAGAGCATGACTGTGTTATCCATGTATGCCACTTCATTAAAAAAAACTATTCTCTCTCTCTCTTTTTTTTTTTCTAAGAAAAGTATGGCCTTTAGCCCTCTGAGGAGGAAAGGTTAAGTTTGGGTCCTACGTAATGTTAACAACAAACAACACAACCTTTACAAATTATGGGGATAAAAATTATTTTCAAAAACATACATTTTTCATATTGTTACACACCATCCTCATATCACCTATACTGAGGTAAACAGATAAGTATAAAATCTGAATAACATTTGCTGAATTTAAATACAAAGATTCCCTTATTGACTATTCAAAGGGCAGATGAGAATCTGCATTGATCCAACTCTTACAGTCTTATCCAGTTCCCCTTAGGAGCAAATGGCTAGTCAATCTGTAAATAGGATCTAGTTAAGTCAACTGTCTCCATCCATCCATCCATTCTTCCTTTCAATGATTCTTTAGTATCTACTGTGTGAGGCACTGTACTGGATAATGGAGACCTCAAGATGAATAAAACATGATTCCCACCCATCAAGAAGCCTACAGAACAGTAGCAGAAATAGTCAAATAACTACAGTGTAATGTGATATATAACACAGGCACGAGCAAAGTTTTATCATAGCCCCTAAGTGCCTAATGGAATGAAAGAAAGGATCCAGAGACAGGATGCTTGAGCTGGAACTTGAAGCAAAATGGGAAATTCACAGGGAAATGCAGTTTCAGCTCTTCATTCAAAGAAGAGAAAATTCTGTTTCTAGTTTAGTGACAGGAAAATTAAAACAGAGAAAGATAACATCTACTGGGACCTCATACTGACAAGGCAACACCACTGTACAACACAGAAATCCAGACTGCTTATCGTTAGACTTCTAGCACCTAAGGACATGGTCCCCATGAATTTTTAATGCTCAGAAACAAAACATCTAACTTTCAATGTCTGCCTTATTCTATGCAATGATCTTACCAAGGATATTCAACTCCTCCTCTAAGAAGGTCCTTAGACTTAAACATTTATGGAAGGGAGTTTAAAAAGCCAAATACTTGCGGCACCTGGGTGGCTCAGTTGGTTAAGCATCCAACTTCGGCTCAGGTCATGATCTCGTGGTTTGTGAGTTTGAGCCCCGTGTCAAGCTCTGTGCTGACAGCGCAGAGCCTGGAGCCTGCTTTAGATTTTGTGTCTCCCCCTCTCTCTGCCCCTCCCCTGCTCATGCTCTGTGTCTGTCTCTCAATAATAAATAAATGTTAAAAAAAATTATTTTAAAAAAGCCAAATACTTTCCTCACTAATGGAATAAAATCCCTGATTTTATATGACTGAACCTCACATTTACTAATTTTGAAACAAACTAATATACGGAACAGTTCTTAAGAAGCAAAGGAAAAGAGCAGATTTAATGTGGAAAAGTTGGGCCAAAGGGACAGAATGGTTCTGAGTCATCAAACTCTATGGGTTTTCATCTAAAAATTTTTCTTCACTTTTGACTATAAAAGGGAGAGCATCCTGAGAGATTAAACCACTATCCAAATGTGTTTTTCAAAAAGGGAAAAAAGGGAAAAAGAGGCACTCCAACATGGATTTGCACTGAAATATTTCCTACATGAGTAAGTGCTCAACTTGGATGATCTAAACCCCAATAACATTTCATAGATGAAGACACCTTGAGGTCCCTGCATGCCCTTGTGGCTGTGGACACTGCTGCCAATTTAAAGAGGAAAAATATTAAGGGTGTGTAAGGAGTGAGGAAAATTTGCTGTTTTGTGCACAGTTCCTTTAAAGAGTGAGGACTACTTTCTAAATTTATTAAGAGGTTTTTGTCTTTTTTTAAAATAGAGACCATAAAAAGAAGTAGTGTGTGAAGGCACAAAAAAGGGGAACTTGAAATCCAATTGCAATAATTACTCATGCAATTGGCCCCTTTCTCTGTGGCATTATAGAAACCTCCTGAGTACCAAAAAGCTTATGCTTTTACAAAAGAGAACTGCCACATCATTGCATGGCACAACTACTGCTTCCTTAGACCTTTCAGGAAATGATCCCCAAGTGGTTTTCACTAGCCCCATAGGGCTTCCTATATTAAAATACAGTGACCAAGATTAGCCTTGAATAACTGAACTGCAGAGATGAGTTATGCTAGTTCCAAATGATTAGTTTTCTGCTCCAAATGATGGGATAAAGTATCCTCTGACGGACATAGTTGGTTTCACAGTGATGGACATACATGTATGGATGATCTGAGGCACAAGCTGTGATTGGTCTTAAGAAAATGAAAGGTGGAATTGGGTTCAACACCCAAATCTCATGATTTCTGGTCCTTATTCAGCCAAAGCGTTGAGCTGCTCCGAGTCCATATTATACACATTTTTGATCTTTCTCAGTTGTCTGGGTGCAGCATGATAAGGAAAACTAGGTATTTGGCTTGATAACAGTATTCAAGGTAGAGGTGCCACGCTCATGGTAAGCTTCTCACCACAGGATATCTGAGAGCTGCTGCCAGAGAGGACTGTGGTCCAATGATGATGACTAGAGTTCAGTTTTCAAAATTTTAGGAATAATCTGATCATAGCCTTTCCTTCTTGTTACATTATAGGACAGGAATTTAGAGTATTCAGTCAACAGGTTCTCCCAGTAACAGGTGATGTCATCCATCTGCAAGTGGTTCATAATAAACTGGCTTCCCCTAGAGACGAGATTAATAAGAACACTTAAAGCACAGCATTTAATAATACTAATAGCTTACATCTAAGTGCTTACCTTGTGCCAAGTCCTATTCAGATGCTTTATATGAATTAACTCTTTTGATCTGCAGAGCCAACCCTATAGCCATCATATCCACACACATGCACTTAGCAATAGAACTTAACTTTTTTTCTTAAAAATAAACATATAAAGAGTGAATTCTCAGAAATTCTGTACTTGTTTAATTACCTGAAAGATTTCAGTCTACTTCTATAAAGGATGGGCTTGGGACATATGTGAATGTGTGTGTTCCCTCTGGAAAGGTTTTTTTTTTTTTTAATTTTTTTTTTTAATGGTTACTTATTTTTGAGAGACTGAGAGAGACAGAGTGTGAGCAGGGGAGGGGCAGAGAGAAAGGGAGACACAGAATCCAAAGCAAGCTCCAGGCTCTGAGCTGTCAGCACAGAGACCGATGCAGGACTTGACCCCACAAACTGTGAGATCCTGACCCAAGCCAAAGTCAGATGCTCAACTGACTGAGCCACCCAGGCGCCCGCCCCCCAGTAAGTTTTAATTCTGATTATCTCTGTAGAATGAGAACGAAATCCAGATATCACCATGATAACAATAGTCATGTGACTTTAGTTGGGGATGATAAAGTAAAATAGATAAGGAAAAATGAATAGAACTTACCTTTCAGCAATTTCTTGAGCCATGTCATCATTTGCTTTTACAAAATGCAACAGCTCCCTAAAATGGTAAGAATCATTAGTCTCTAAAATATACACTGAGCTAAGAAAGACCACAGACTGAGGTCTATGGTTAATCTCTAGATAGGTGGATAATTGATTATTTCTTTTTTATTTTATCTCATTTTTTAAAATGTTTTATTTATTTTTGAGAGCATACATGTAGGGGAGGGGCAGAGAGAGGAGGACAGAGGATCTGAAGCGGGCTCTGCACTGACAGCAGCAAGCCCAATGTGGGGCTCAAACTCACAAACCACCACATCACGACCTGAACCAAAGTTGAACTCTCAACCAACTGAGCCTCCCAGGTGTCCCTGTTTCTTTCCTAAAGCAAAGACATTTGGGTCCTTACAGGACAAAAACAACAACAACAACGGGGCGCCTGGGTGGCGCAGTCGGTTAGGTGTCCGACTTCAGCCAGGTCACGATCTCGCGGTCCGTGAGTTCGAGCCCCGCGTCGGGCTCTGGGCTGATGGCTCAGAGCCTGGAGCCTGTTTCCGATTCTGTGTCTCCCTCTCTCTCTGCCCCTCCCCTGTTCATGTTCTGTCTCTCTCTGTCCCAAAAATAAATAAACGTTCAAAAACAACAACAACAACAAACAACAACAACAAAAGTCCCCACACAGGCTAAAGGCAACCTGTTGTAGATTTGGGACATACTTGAGAAAATAGAGAAATATTCAATGATACACATCAAAAATCAATAGTGAAAAAAAATTACCCTCCTGTCTCTTGCTGTAGCCCCTAGAAGAGGGCCCTGGTTTCATGTTTCTGGGCCCTTTCCATATCTCTTCCTCGTTCCTCCCATCATGTGAGAAAATTGGCCTCAGCTTCAGTGGGGTCAGTTCTCACATATCTGAAAGTCTCTTTGATAATATAACAACATCTAATAACCCTATCTTTAGTCTTTGAGAGATAAGCACTTTTCTACTGTGGACTGCCTGAACATTACATTTCAAACTAGCATTAGAGCGCTTTTTCAGATTAAATCTCACATATAGCCTAGTTGACTGGTAGCACTGTATATACAAACCACATAGAAAAAAAGGCTTTCAGGGCTCCTGGGTGGCTTAGTGAGTTAAGCATCTGCCTTCAGCTCAGGTCACGATCTCACGGTCTGTGAGTTCGAGCCCCTCGTCGGGCTCTGTGCTGACAGCTCAGAACTGGGAGCTTACTTCGGATTCTGTGTCTCCCTTTCTCTCTGCCCATCCTTTGCTTGCTCTCTGTCTCTCAGTCTCTCTCTCAAAAGTAAATAAACATTGAAAAATTTATATAAAAAAAACTTTCAAGGGAAAAAGTCATCAGTAGTAAATGCCTTAAATGGCTGGGGACTTAGAGGCAGATTGGGGAGTCATTAGGCACTCTGCTTGGGGAGAGCCACTCACTGGACATTGGAGAGATCTGTTTTGACTGGGATATAGTGAACCCATGGCTTCAGTTGTGGATAGAAGAATTCAAGCCACTCATCACCAACATGGAAAACAAGGGAACCACACAGGAAGAGGTGTTTGAACCGGAAACTTGCGGCTACACCTCGAAAATTAAACAGATACCTGGGAAAGAAAGAGCAAAATATATTCAATACTATACACCTGCTACCACAAATAGGATCTTTTTCTTCTTATTCCCTCCTCCCCATCTCTCCTTTTATGACCCCTCTCCCTGCCCTTCCTATTTTCAGGTTTCAAGGACACATCTGCATGTCCCTGTGGGTTTCCAGGGGCTACTGGCTGTTTCAGGGAATATCAGGTGGGGGAGAAAAGAGGATTCTTTCTCCAGACAGACCTAGAGAGGGCCACAAACTGGGTCTAGATAGAGAGAGGTAAGGCTCAGATGGAGAGAGTACCTTACCCTTTCCTATGAGCTTTCCTGGGCCTAATGTCTCTAGTGAGTCATGGCTCCCCAAAGCCTTGTTTTTCCCCTGGGGTACCCCACCAGAAGCACCTGCTGTTCCCCTTCTGAACATAATTCCTCTTCTGAATTCTGGAGAAGAAAACCAGGTATACCTAATCAATCTTCAAAGAAATGCCCCCTGGAAAAAAGCTATCTTAGAAAAGAACATGGTCTTTTCAGCATTTCTCATGCATGCACCCCTATCTCCAACTAGAGTTGCTTCTACCCTAGAGTTCCCACTATGCAGTGTAATCAGCATTCACCTCTCTGAATCCCCCTACTTCCTCCTCCTGACCTGGTTTTACTTGTTCACCTAATCCTTAGTCCTGGCATTGAATTCTAACATTTTAGTTACATATGCTTTATTCATTTTGAAATGTAAACTTTTATTAATCTGATAAATACTTTAACTTTACCTATTGGTTGGATGGGGTGTAGAGAGAAGGAATCCCATCACTTTCGTTGCTAGCAGAAAGGTCTATGGAGGCAGGGACCATTTTTTAGGGTCTCTGCAGTTCCCATAGAACTCAGGTGAGAACCCTGTACACACAGCATGTTCTCATTAAACAACAACCAGATGAATTAATAGGACTTTCATAAACCCCAGCTGGACCTAGTATTAAAGTTCTCTCCCAAAGTGAAGCTATTCCAAATGTAATAGGGAAACCAAGAGTCAGGAGTCCTAGAAGTCTTACTTGTATTTGCAGTGATCCACAAGATGGACATCCTTAGCAGCTGGCTTCCCCAAGGTGTCCTTTAAGTGAAAAGGAAGTTATTAGTATTGAGAGTGGTAGTATTTATTGAAAAGCAGTATGCAGCAAACATAGTTAAGCATTCCATCAACACGACCTCATTTCATTGTCCTGAATAAACACATTCAGAGGAATTATTATCCCATTTTATACATGAAGAAGCCATGGTCTCGAAAAGTTGAGACTTGCTCAGGGTCACGTGGCCCTATGTAGAGGAGCAAGGGTTTTAACCTGGGCCTGTCTGATTTTAGAGTTTAAGCTCCCAGAGCCATGTGGATCCTTCTCTGAACTCAGAGATCCTAACCTACAGCACATTTCACTCTGTGTAAAGTATACATATACGAAGGTACAGGTGGTGGCTGGTGGGCTCAGAGGTAAAACCCACACACAGATTTTGTTGGGGATGGAAAGTATTTAAAAATAAAAATTCAAACCATTGCCAACATTTACAGGTGGTAAGATATTTCTTCCAAAAACCCCGATTTCCAACTTTTCTTGTAAAACATAAAAGGAAGGTCTGGTAAACTGAGCTCCTATTCCCTTGGCGGCGTTGACCAGACCTTTAGCTCTCTCTCCTGCTCACTCCTGTGGCCTCCTGGGGCATCTGAGTTTGAGACCCCCATTTATATCCCAGCTACCTTAGAAGATGGCAAACACTTTGATGAGGGAAACAAGTCTTGTTTGCTTTTGCAGCACCCCACAGTAGAGGCTGTGCTGAATGGATACACTTTTCATATTTTTCTTTTTCTTTTTTTTTTTTTTAATTTTTAAATGTTTATTTATTTTTTATTTTTGAGACAGAGAGAGACAGAGCATGAACGGGGGAGGGTCAGAGAGAGAGGGAGACACAGAATCTGAAACAGGCTCCAGGCTCTGAGCCGTCAGCACAGAGCCCGACGCGGGGCTCGAACTCACGGACCGTGAGATCATGACCTGAGCCGAAGTCGGACACTTAACCGACTGAGCCACCCAGGTGCCCCCATATTTTTATTTTTCAACAAAGTTTGTTAGACTTCATTTGCTCCTGTTTGATTACAACTATCACATATTACATCTCAGATACACTTAGTTTTCCCACAAGAAGTTTAAAACTTCTTTTCATATCATCCTCATATGGCATTTGAAAATTTCAAATGAGGACATTTAGGGCTTAAAGTTCTTTGAATAAGGCAAGAAGTCATAGAAGACAGAGATGAACTCCAACCTGAAGGAGCCAGTCATTGCTGGCATTGCCTTAGAATCACTTGGAGAGTTGTAAATAAATTAAGAATATCTTTACATTTCAATTAAGAATATCTTTACGTTTCAAATGCTTGAAAAATACCCAAAGAAGAGTATTTATGACATGTGAAAATTACATGAAATTCAAATTTCCATGTCATAAATAAAGTTTTACTAGAACACAGCCAGGCTCATTCATTTACATAGTGTCTGTGGCTGCTTTCACACTGTGATGGCAGAGTTGAGTAACTACAACAAGACCATACAATCCACAAAGCCTAAAATATTTACCATTTGGCCCTTTCCATAAAAAGTTTGTGTCCTCTGGTTTAAACCTTAAAAGTAGTAAAAAAACAAAACAAAACAAAAACAACAACAACAACAAAACAACAAAACAAAACCAAAACTACTACTCATAATATGGCCCAGAAAAGCAATGTGAGTTTGAAAGAATAATTTACATATATGCTAATACTAGTTTGTGGATCTTTCTCTACATTCATCTATCACTAAGAGGAAACCTGATCTGGAATTCTACCCAGGTGACAATGTTCTTTGAGTGAGAATGTTCACTGCTATGGTTCTATTCAGACAATTGTGATTACTTTCATAGATTTCCAGGCTTGGTTTTTGGTGTATTCTGCATCAACAAGTTTTGGGTTTTTCCGAGATAGAAGAATGAGAGGATCCCGTTCTGGACTTGTCCTATAAAAGAAGCATATGACATAAAACATGTGTCCTCCACCATAATACTGTTCCCAATCTCTAAAAAGTAAGCTGTAATTGGACCCAATGCAATGACTGTACACATAGATGGATAACTTACTGGTTACAACAGAGGTGGGGGTGGGGGTGGGGGGGTACTGGGCCCTGTGCATATAGGTGTTCCTGCCTGTTTTCCTGGCTGTTTACCCTTCAGAGATGGGGAGTATTGGGCCCTTCTTTGCTTACATCTAGTCTTTAAGAGGATGTTGTTCTGAACTCTACAGGCATATCCCAGGGAATGAGTTCCCTTTTGGGATGGCTCATGTAGCGTCTATAATCACTAGTACTCACAGCTGTGTGACTAGGTAATCACCCCTCACCAAAATAGCTACATGACCTTTGTTGTGTGTATTTCGTAAGGTCCAGTGTAATATTTAAATTAAAAAGAAAACTAAAGGGCTAAAACCTGTAGAAAAAGTCCTAGTTATGGTCCAAGTAGGAGATGGTCCTGACATTTGAGAGGTCCTGGACAC